AAATGATCCAGCTTGGTGGCCGACAATCGACTGGGAACGTGGAATGAGCTATTTCATGGGTTCGTGGAATGAAGAGCAAGCCAGACGACATTCATGACATCTCACTCCATCTTTGATTCTGGTTTCACAGTTGCATCCTCTACTGCAGTGGTATATGATTTGGGTGAGCGAGCTACGCCGCCACTACTTACCGCGGCAGTCATTGATATCCACATGGTACTCAAGCACTGACATTCGCACAAGAGGTAAGTCGATGTCATTACTGGCGCAGCCATCTCACTAAGAATCCTTCAACAGTTTGAATTGGTCTGGGTGAGCTGTCTACATGACTCACAAGCACAACACGATCTGACAGTTAGTTTGGGGCAGAGGCAACGTTGGTCTCTCATGAAGGTCCTATATATCAGTGTGCGTAGATGATGTCATAAGCACAGTTGGCAAGCTGTACTGATTTCAAAATATGCTAGGTTCGCTATGGTGGAATACCATTCTACGTGTGTGTTTGCAATGCTAGCAAGTTGGCAATGATATACTGTGCTGATAAGCGATCTTTCTTGTAATCAGCGGAGGCGTACTGTGTATGTATCCTCACACACCCTGTGTTCATTTCTTATAACCGGTGCCATGTAGCAAATATCGCGTCAGTCTCGATGACAGATGTAGTGCGTATCCTGCATCTATTTTTGTGATGATTCCCATCCAACCACTAACTGTTCTCATACATAAGGGGTGAGTGATATTCTCGACCGGCCTGTTTCTCCATAATGATTTCAACAGCTGTGAGTTCATTTGAAGTATCGAGTTCATTAATGCGCATAATTGACTGGAGTTCTTCAGGCGCTACCCTTCACTCGGCACAGTTGTGGACACCTGTCGTCATCAATGCCATGCTGGGTGGTGAGCTACTGGCTACAACACCTCTTTTACGTCAAGTTCACTGAAATACTGCGCAAGTCATTATGATGACTCGGATATATGCCATGTATCGGCGATCTAAAAAGATGCTCATCATTCTCGTTGTACTCTTACTGGCTGCCACAGTCGCCACCGCAGTGATGACCGCAATAGGAAATAATTATTCTTCATGGGGTAAGTTTTAATAATAATCAGGAATGAAACCGATGTATTAGACTCATGAACGAATAACAGAGGAGTTCATCCTTTCTGATATCTTTCAGTGTCTCGACGCCTACACCAACCCAGCAACTGTACGCCTGCCTCACGAGACTTTGATACCCACTCTTGTTTGGCAGATACTCGCCTTGTGTCTTGCATTCTGGATTGTTATAAAACACTTCCGTGAAGTGCGACAAATGCCGACAGCCGGAGACTCTTTCATGGTGTTGATAAAAGGTCACGTGGTGGACTTTGTAGGGCGAGTTCGGTTATTTGGGTGTTATTGACCTGTTCTTCTAAATTTCCGCGTGTGCTAGCTTTGCTGCTGTGTCCTGCTTCAGCATTGGTTCGCTGTCTCCGACGCTCATGGTGCGTTCAACTGTGATCGATTCATATATTCCTCATCATTTCTAATACAGGACGCATCTTCCCCGGCAAGTAAAGTTTATTTCGGCATTCTTCAAATTGTACAGCCTATTCAGATGTTTGTGCTGGGCCCGCGTCTCATCCTTGACATTCGAGAATATCACTCTAAGCTCGTGGCTAGCTCTGACGAGGCTACTGGTATGAGTACAATTGCTTTTCAGGAGCGCGGACAGATCTCGACTGGCGATGGTGTGTAACATGTGGAGGATTGAATTTAGTCTGGGAAAACCAACCCACCGAAGAGCGGGAACAGAAAGGAGGAATTTAGTGCACCGACTTATGTTTTCCTATTACACATTTCAGAGCAATTTACTATTGATACTGTACATCGACGCCAGTACGTGTCACTGTTCCATATGATTTCATTGAAAATCGAATTGGCTTTTCAACTCGACCTCCCCAAATGGGGGTGGTAGATTATACAGCCTTGTACGTGTTCCTTGCCTCATAACCCCCACTATCTGTTATAATTGCTTCAACAAATCTGCCATGGGTCCTCCTCGCCGAGCTCGTTCTAATTCTTCTGTATCAACTCACTCTCAGCAACATCGTCACCGACAGCCGCAACCACTAGAGTCAACTCCTCCTGAAACAATGCCGTCTACACAATCACATCTAGGAATGTCTCCTCAGTCGCGTTATCTCTCGAACATGAAGGTTGTTCGTCGTAGAGACCCCTCTATTGTATCTATATTCGATCAGTTCAGCCACGTCTGTGTGTACCACCATAACGGTGACAAATGGGAGAAGCAGGGTTATGAAGGGAGCATGTTTTTGTACGAGAGGTACGTTCAACGCATTTAGTTGCATGTCTACAGCTCATTTTCTGTAGGGATTCTTACCCACCTTATGGTCTCTATATTTTGAATCGTGTGGGTATGGACGACTACATCCAACGACTCTATCCAGAAGATGGCATAGGCGCGCATGGTTCCTATCTCATGATGCGTCATTACCCCGACTTCACCACACGCAGGCTCGTAGAAGCACGAGACAAACTACCCCTCTCCAAGCAGGAAGGTCCAGCCTCTAAATTTGCTCCCGAGTTCGTCGTGCCAAATCTAGAACAATTACAAGATGCTGAGAAAGGTCGATCACAAACGGTTGGGTTGTGGTGCTTTGCAACCGATGCAAGAGAAAGCATGCAAGATGTTGTGTTGAGGTGAGTGACTGGCCTTTCGCCATGTTTGCATATACTCTGACGCACTTGTAGATTGCATAGCTATATCAAGCAGAATCTTCCGTATCCAGAGGAGTATAGATATGGCCCGGATCGTCCTCCTCCCCCGAACTTTCGGTCGTCATCGAGGGCCAGTGGTAGGCGGACTGAAAGCTTGTTCAAAGAATTGCTCTTAATATCTTGCAGAACGTTCACACATGCGCTCGGCATCGAGCGCATCCACCAGCAGCATACATAGTATTTCGGAGTCGGAAGAGTATCATGCAGGAAGTCAACCCACTCCCTCAGAAAGTAGTCGTTCCAACGGGCATGTATCGGAGCTTGACAAACTGTTTGCCAAGCTGGGGGGCACAGGATGTACTCCACAGCAGATGCCCTTACAATCGCAGACTAAGGAGACGACTGCTGCAAGTTTACTGGCCGGCATATCCGGCAGTGGAAATGTATATAGAACGGCATCCGTTCCGCCACCGACCTCCAATTCCGTCCCTCCGACTCGCGGATTAGCTTTATTGGACACCATCTTCGCCTCCGCACCACCAAGCCAACCCAATCGTGGACCATCTCGCTCTGGAGCGGCATCAGCTTCCCTCCCCCTACCCACCTCCACACATGCACAAACCACATATACTACACAAGCTCAGTCCACGACGCTCGGATACACCACTGGACACACTGCCAGCTCACAAAGTCCTATCATCCTTTCTCCCAAACCAACGTCTACTGCACTACCTCAGGTGCTCAACCAAGATGTCATCTCTACGCTCCTCGGGCTCCCCGCATCCCGTGCCTATGAGGGTGATAATGAGGCAAGTGATGATGGATCTATCTCTGAAGGAGGATATTCTGTTTCTAGTACTATACTTGATGCTGAAAATAACATGGAGCTGCAAGCTGCAGGGTTATCCTCTGGATTGCCACTCCTCGCTGTACCTATGGGCCAATCCGAGTACAAAGGCACAAGAAATGGGAGCGGCAAAACCCTGGGCGATGTCACTCCTCGTCCACCACTCCGAGGTTTCAATTCTGATTTCACGGTGGTCGGCGACCTCCTTGCGGCTGCTCAGACGATGAAGCACTCGCGTGCCTCCCCACACCTTCATATTCCCTCTGTCGCACCTCCACAACCTGGGGATCCAGATACCACGCCGACATTGACCAGCGTCAATGGCACACACAACGTACCCAAACCCCGTCCCCTCATTCCATTCGAAGCAGATTCTGACTTGTGGCCATACCCTCGTGCTCCATTTGTCGAGGCAGACTCAGATGTGATTGAGCTCGACTTTGCTGATACGAGTGCACTGAGCGATCCGGATGCATTTGCGAAGGAGCAGCGCTCAAAAAATAGGAGGAGCCAGAAGAAAGGTCGGAAGGAGCGGGAGAAGGATCGGGAGCGAGAGAGAGAGGAGATAGAGAAGAGCTGGGATGTGCCACCGCCTGTCAAGGTTATGCCACTTCCACAGCCACAAGGTGTCGTGTCGACACCTGCAGTCCTTGTTAATGGCAAGGCCAAGCATGTGCGCAAAGAGCGTGCTGGTTCTGTAGCTAGTCAGAGCTCTGTTGATGACGCAAACGCCATCGACACTCATGCCGTCCATGCATCTCTTCTGTCTGCTCTCGCCCAGAAGAAAAATGGGAGTTCGAATAATTTTTCGAGGAACGACTTTGTCCGGGAAGTTCTGACTCTCATACACGTATGTTTTATATCCATTCATCAAGTCTAAAGCATCCTCTCTGACCTTTGTATTTTCAGACAGACAAAGATTTCGTGGACACTCTTTGGCAGGAGTATACTTTGAGTGCGAGATGATGTCCCGGAGATGGCTTTGGATGCCTGGAAACTTCACTACAAGAGCTCATATATTTTCGCTCGCAATTGCTACTTGATTCAAGCCCCACTAGTACTACTTCGCCACTCCCTTGATGATTTGTATTGTAGGTGTTGCTATTTTGTTACTGAGTATCTTGATAGGAGGGGTTTTGCATCCGACGCAGTTGTATTGCAATTGCTCCGTTTGGGTGAAGTTTGATTTGAGACTTCATTGCGATGTTTGAGGTATTATTTTGGTTTATACAAGGTGAGCCAATTTCGAGAATTAATTCTATACCAACAGTGGGCGGATAAGGTAAGATATCGTCCATGGTTGCTACTCGGGATAGGTTTCCACTGAGACACCTCCATGTACTGCAGCATTGCCCGTCGCCACTACCATTTCATGTAGTGGTAATCCTAGATCCCTGTCGATCTGTTCAGCAGAGCTTGTCGTTCACATTCAACAAATGCTACGATTTCTCCAACCGATGGACGACTTGCACGAGGCAACCAGCACCGCTGTATGAACTCCCAAAGCCCAGGCGCTATTTGCGACTCCTTGGGAGGCTCTGGTTTCTTGCCCTTAATGACCTGTCCCAACACTAAAATATCATTTTTCACGTTGTAGTACGGTACCTTGCAAGTCAACACCTAGGGCATGCGCAAAGTGAACAGACTTCTTTCGGCGGAAAAGTTAAGTTACTGACCTGCAGGGTGATACTGCCAAACGAGTATATGTCGCACTCGGTGCTGAGCGAAACTTCATCGTCTTCTGATGCTTCACATAACTCTGCAGCCACCCATCGGACGTTCCCTCGGATGGAGCTCGTAAAATAGGAGGTACCGACGAATTCCAGAATGATAGTGGAGAGACCAAAATCAGCGAGGCATGCCCGACCGTTGCCATAAATCAAGACATTCGACTGGAGAGTCTGGACGTGAGTAATGAAGAATACACCTTCTGTGAGTGGCTATACACACCCCTGTCAGGTCACCATGGACAACTGATTCACTGTGGAGGTACTCTAATCCAAGGGCAATGTCATCTAGCTAACGTGTGTCAACATGTCAGCAAGCGCCTGGAAATACTTTCGAAAAAGAGCTTACAAGGGAAAACTTATCTTGAGGCGACAACACGTCTTGTTGACGCTCAAGAAAGCCTGTGAGAGCTCCATTGTCAGCCCATGGACAAATCATTGCTGGGTGGGGCCCAAAGTCGTTTGCCACTCCACAGAGGGGAAGAATGCTACGGTGTTTGAGACGGGCCCAAACTTTCAGCTCACGACGCACTCTCTACGTTAAGTTATTGTTGGAAAGATTGTCATAAATGAAATAGGGAAATTACCTTCCCATTCTTTCGCGTCAATTCTTTGTTATCCGACCCGAAAGAACGGATAGTCTTCACTGCTACCTGCGTGATGTTCAAGATAATCCTATGGGAAGCGCTGCAAGCTGAACATACCTGGACGGTCCCACTGGGCTTCACTAAATCGCACTTCCAGATGTCTCCAAAGCCTCCAGAAGCGATCGGATAGCGCGATCTTCCCTGGAGTTTATTGGTCAGATCTTCTAGACAATCTGACGCAGAACCTGGTGACTCTTGGTTGGCTTCTTCCTCTGTCGCCATTATTTCTGAAGAAGGTGAAGCGGAAGTCTGGATAGTTGCGTGAGTCAGGGGTATATCAATAACACACATCCATACGTTCAGGAGTAACTGCGCCCGAGGTAACATATTTCCACTGTTCTGGAAGAATGTGAGAAATAGTGAGGGAATGGAAAGAATCTGCATACATCGGGTGTCGGCTTATCACACGCTTTCCCTTGTGCTGTTTGTTTCTCCTTCAGGATCTCTTCTTCTGTGGTGTCCACCGTCCCGAATGCTTCAAATCTGGCTTCCTCCTCCTTGCGTTTAGATTCCGTTGATCTCGGCCAAAGGTCATGTGCGATGTGTCTTTCATCCTTCTTCTCCGGTCTAACAACCTCCGACATGTTCCTGACCTCTGCCTCTTCCTTGACTTCCTTCTTCGCAAGCGTCTCCTTCCGGTTGATTCCGTCACCTTTCCCGACATCCTCCTCTTTCATTGCCCCTGCTCCCACGGCGCCTGGTGCCACTTTCTTGTTCTGGCGTGTGATCGAGCTCAATCTCGAGAACGTCCAGGGCGTGTTGCTACGGTTGGTGCTGGTTGACTCGGAGCGGTCCCTATGCGAATTTGTTGCAGATATGTGAAGCTCGTTGCGGCTGGGAATGGGCAAGGGTCCTACAGAAGACGGAAAAGATTTTGAGGTAGACATTTGATGAGGTGGATCCTTGTAGGCTGATGATGTTTGCGGATTGGGTGTACTCAATAGGTGTAAGCTCGCGTTTGAGCTCCGCCGACTCGAGGACGTCCAGGTTGAATTGCTACGACTGGTGTATGTGTGGCCCCTATCTGCGGTCGGACTCCCTGCTGCAGACATGTGAAGCTCATTACTATCGGGGGAAGACATCTGGCGAGGTTGATTCTTCTGAGCTGATGGCGTTTGCGGCTTAGTTATATTCGACCTCCATGAGTTCGCGGTCGAGCTCAAACGAGTCGAGGACGTCCGGGTCGTGCTGCTACGGCTAGTGCTGATCGATGTGGAGCGGCCTCTGTTAACAGGCGGACATGCTGTTGACATGCGCTCGTCACGGTCGGAGGTTGACCAAGGACCTGTAGAAGATGAAAAGGATCGAGAAGTAGACATGCGGGGAGGTGGCGTTGTTCGACTCGGATGATATCCCAAGGACTTCCAGCTCTGCTTCGTCTTTTCCTCCAAACTTTGGCGCCTTCTCTCTTCGATATGCTTTCGATATTCTTCCTCTTGGGCCTTCCGCTGGTCATATCTGCGCTCCATCTTTACCTCCCTAAGGGTCAGTTGATTCTCTCGTCGCCCGAGTTGTTCCTCTTTCCTCCGAATCCTTTTCTCTTCGGTGCGCAATGCTTGTTCTTTGAAGACAACTTCATATTCCTTGCGTTTCACCTCCTCTGACTTTCGCATAACGCCTCGTGTCATTTGTCTTTCTTCCTCCTCCAAACGCCTCGTCGCTGGTTCTTCTCGTCTCCCGAGATCGTCCGCCCTTTTCTTGCCCTGCGCCTCGTTTCTCTCAGCCTTTTCCTCTTTCTTCTTCGCAAAATTCTTTTGCCACTTGCTTTCGTCTCCTTCACGTTCTGTTCCTTCTCCCTCCCTGGTTTCTCCCTCCTCCTGTTTTATGAGATCGAGCTCTTTGCGCATGATTTTGTCCTCTACGCGTTCGGTTTCCTTCTCCTCGTGCCTGGGCTCGCTTTCTTTCTGCGTAGCTTCCTCCTGCCGTGTAAAATCCTCCTCTCTCCTCTTTAGTTCTTGCTCCCGCAGAGAAATCTCTTCCTCTCTCTTGCGGACGCTCTCCTCCCTCTGGAGAAGCCTGTGCCCATCATACTCCCATAAGTCTGCATCGTGAAGGTCATCAGGATACGGGTAAGAATGCTGAATGTGATAGCACCCGTAATGCATGTTTTGCGAGGAGAGTCGAGTATGGAGATTAGATGACTGCCAGCTCCGCGGGAGCGCATCCGGTGTCTGTGGAGAATGCGAGGACTCATAGGTTTCGTACGGCGAGTGTGATGGAACATCCCAGTCTTTGGGACTTGGGCTAGACTGACAGCCGTCATCATCCAATGAAAACAATTTCTTGATGGCGATAGGCTTGCTAACAGTTGGTAGGGGTACCTGCGAGGACGGGGGGAAGTGAGAGTACCCTATTGGGGCTGTAGAGCGTAGGCTGTCTGAAGAGTAGGAGTACCCCATAGGGACTGTTGAGCTTGAACTGCCTAAGGAGCGAGAGTACCTGGCGACGGGGACTACGGAACGCGAACTGGGTGCCATTGAAGGGGATGGTGGTGTTGGTGGTGGATAATCCTCGTCCAACCGCTCGAAGGCAGAGGCACTGGCTCTGGCTTCAATATATGTGTACGGTGTCGTTCGCCTTCTATCCCGAGCTCTGTAAATGGCACTCCACTGTTGTTCCATGGTTAAAGCACGATCCCTCTCCCATCCATTCGCACTACCAGTTATGTCATGCGACGGGAAGTTGAGTACTGATGGTGCCTGATCAGAGGCAGTGCTCGTCGTGCTCCCCCGTCGCGACATGGTAAAGATATGAGGCATTAGTGCATCTTCTTCAGGCGTTGACGGAAGCCCTGGGAGGACAGATCTGTTGGAAAGGTTCGCTGTGCGCAGAAAGCTTCGCCTGTCTAGTGCATCCGTAGCTGAATGCGTAGACCTGGACATGTCATCTGGTTCGATGAGGGATGAATGCTTTGGGCGCTCAAAACTTCTGCCTGTGATATTCAACGTGGATGACCTCATTGCGCTGCTGATATACCTGGCCTGATCCTTGTCAGTATCGCCAGACAGGTTGTCACGTTCTCGGTTGGCGAAACGAGAGACCTCCGAAGGCTTTTGCGGAGGGCAGGTGTCATGTTCGGGTATAAAACCAGAACTATACGACTGCGAAATATGCGTGGGAAGTTGCAAGGAGGAAGAAGACCGGGCAGCGTTGACCTGGCTTTCACGTTGAAGTACAACAGGGAACTGCTCCTCGGCAATATTACGGATGCTCTTCACCGGAGTAACGTGTTCCTGGGACAGCCGCTCGCGCTCGACAGTACTGGTTAGGGCATTCGAGGAGGTATCGTTAAGATTCTGCTTGACCTCGTTGACCATGGAACGCAAGCTCTTCTCGATATCAACTTTGAGGCCACTCTTCCACTTTTTGTCAAGCTCACGATCAGCGGCGGGTGTGATGGTCGAGGATTCAACAGGGACGAGAGCCAAGGTCGCCATTGGCATAGGGGACTACGCAAAGTAGGCTAGCTGTATACTATTCAGAAATTATGATAGTGTAGCAGACTGAAAGGCAAAATCAACTCGGGTGTCTGTAATGTGATTGTGATTACGCACCAGTAATTTGGATGTAGTTAGCATATATTATATACGCAGACGCACTTGCGTAGCCAGCAGAGGATCGAGAACCCGAATACGATGACCTATTGATAACGGTCGAATCAATTACAACAATGGACGACAAAGACATGAACTGAACTGATGGTAATATAGATCTTTTGAACCTGTCCTAACATGAAGTTTAGAATGAACTGACAGGCCCATAAGGCTCACTAGGGACGCACCTTTTGGTCTGTACTATGACTTGAATCGTGCAGGCATGTCATTACTGGTAACTCTGTGACCCTGTCCAAAACGTAGCATCATGGGGCCCGGGCAGTGCGCTTGGTCTCATGATGCGATTACATACTATTCATACACGGGCTAGTACACATGTACTAGTAGCAAGTCCCACTGGCACCTTTAAATTTGCTCCCGAGGTAGGCACATGACTAATGATGCAGATTCTTTAAGGAGTCACAGCTGTTGGCTATTATGCGGTGCTTTGCAGCTGATGCAGGAGAAACATTCAATTATCCAAGACGATGCGATGCATATGCGTTGAGGTGAGCAGTAAATTTGTGACTCAAGTGCCAATGGGCGGGCCGCTTGCCGTGATCACCTCATGTTGACTCGAACCGAATTGATAATCACTATTAGATAGTCGTACACAGATACCGGGCCCAGTTGACAACTTGAACAGCACATCATCGAGTCCCAATTTCCCCGTCACCGTGGAGAGATTCTGCTCGGAGATTCTACTTGATCTAAGCTCCTTGCAAAACGTTGCGCCGATAATTTTAATGACGTTATGACGTCATTACATTGCTCCCTCGCTCCGAGAAATGAGGTACCTAAGTGCCCACTATCTGAGCAAATGGACCGACTTCACGAACGGAAGTTAACATACCATGCATGCAAGACTCCTGGTATCCAACCCAAGATCGTAAGGCAGATATTAATCCAAAAGTCTGGCAAAATGGCATGAGATTTAATCGGCGTCGAGAGGTGTATTGACTGGGATATTTACCTGCAGCACATCCGCGTTCTATTGGCATCGACGTCGTCATTAATATAATAATGTAGGAGGCATTATACTTACTGAAAAATACGGCTACTGGCGGAAGGACCCTGCATGCGATTTCAGTATGGTAACCAATTGATTTAGGACGTTGAGCATAGCATACGTACAGCGCAACAAAATACAAGATGACATTCCGTGTAGATGAAACGGTGGTGGGCATTTTGAGAAGGGCCTATGTGAAAATACGGGGCTCGTTAGATGTCCAATAGATTTGGACGTTGGGCAACTTATATAACCAGAGGTATTTCAATGACATACGTCATGTCTGTTGGAGTGACTGCATGCTGGGCGGAGCTAGCTAGTGGCTGACTCCAGTGATCCGTTGGAAAGATCAAACAGAACAACCGGTTTAAGCTCAAGCTTCAAGCTTCACTTGCCGACTGTATGCTCGAGCTGCTTCGCTGTGTACACAAAATGTCTCAGCTTGCTTTTGATTCAAACGAACATGATCTAGTATCCGATGAACTATCGTTGGTACCACGTACTTCAAGTTATATTTGATAGAAGCTTGATATTGGGTGCGGCCAGAGCATACAAAATCCAAATTGATATTTGAATCACGTCAAACTGCTTCAACACCACTTTCCAGGCGTGAAGCACTCGTAGAGAAGTGTTACATCCAATTCATCAATCTCTTGTACTCCGTTAAGCAGACTGGGATGACAAGGCTCGTAGTTCATGTCCTACAAACGCCACGATTTCTCCGACCAATGGACGTCTCGCACGAGGCAGCCAACATCGCTGCACAAAGCTCCGGTGTCCAGGCGCTATTTGCAAGTCCCTGGGAGGCTCTGGTTTCTTGCCCCTGATGATTTCTCCAAAGACTGTCAAGTCGTTCTTCAAATAGTAGTAGGGTACCTTGCAAGTCAATATCTAGAGCGAGCGCAAAGGGAATAAGTTCCGACGGTTGAAAATTCAAGTGACTAACCTGCAATAGGATACTGCCAAATGAGTAGATATCGCACTCGGTGCTGAGCGATGCATTATCTGGTGCCTCATATAGCTCTGCAGCTGCCCATCGGATATTCCCTCGAATAGAGTTCGTAAAATAGGAGGTACCGATAAACTCCACGAGGATAGTAGAAAGACCAAAATCAGCAAGGCATGCCCGGCCGTTGCCATAGATCAAAACATTTGACTGGAGAGTCTGGATGTGAGTAATGAAGAATAGACCTTCTGTGAGTGGCTATACACACCCCTGTCAGGTCACCATGAACAACTGATTCACCGTGAAGATATTGCAGTCCAAGGGCAATGTCATTTAGCTAACGTGTGTCAACATATCAGCAAGCGTCTGGAAATACTTTCAAAAAGGGGCTCACAAGGAAAAACTTATCTAGAAGCGACAACACCTGTTGTCGAAACTCAAGAAAGCTCGTGAGAGCTCCATGATCAGCCCACGGGCAAACCATTGCAGGGTAGTAGGGCCCAAAGTCATTTACTACCCCCCAGAGTGGAAGAATGTTGCCATGTTTGAGACGCCCCCAAACTTTCAGTTCACGACGTAGTCTCTAAGCCGAGTTATCATCCGAAAGATCGACATGAATGGAATAGAAACATTACATTCGCCTTCTTTCGCTTCTCTTCCTCGTTGTCCGCCTGGAACGCGCGAATGGTCTTCACTGCCACCACCTACATCACAGTCAGATGATACGGTAGCAAGTGTCACAAGCTGTACGTACCTCATTGAGCCTGCTGGGCTTAACCAAAAAACATTTCCAGATGTCTCCAAAACCTCCGAAAGCAGTGGGGTAAGGCGGTCTCCCCTGGACTTGTTTAGTAAGATCCTCCAGAAAATGAACTTCCTCTTTCCACGGTACACGTTCTTCCTCCTTCCTCCGGTTCTCTTCCTCTGTAGCGCGCGCCATTTCTCCTTTCAACCTACCTTCCTCCATGCGTCTTAAGTTATCTTCCCTTTGTTTCGCCACCTCCCGGTACAACGCGGGATCTTGTGCTGGACGTCTTTCTTCCACACCATACCCCCTTGTTGAGTTCTCCGCATGCCTTGTAGGTCCTTCCCTTCTCTGGGCCTGCGCTTCCCTCATCTTGACTTCGTCTTCTTTCTTCTTCGCAAGCATAGCCTTCCGCTTGATTTCGTCTTCTTTGCGTTTGGTTTCCTCCTCTTGCGTTCTTCTCATCTCGAGCTCGTTGCGCTGTGTTTCGTTCCATGATCGGTTGAGTGTCTGATGATACTCGCCCTCAGAGACCTCATTATGCGTATTGGTAGGCTGAACGGGATAGTAATAGCTCCCGCTCGTAATGTTTAGCGAGGGGTGTTGAGAATCGAGCCTGTGAGACGACTGCCAATTCTGCGGGACCTCTTTTGGTGTCTCTTGGTAGTATGAAGACTCATGGCGGGTTTCGTACGGCAAGCGCGACGGACCAGTCCAGTCTTCGCGACTCGAGCTGGGCTGAAAGCCGCTACTATCGAACGAGGCCGATTTCTGGGCAATGATAGGCCTACTGCTAGATGGTGGGGGTCCGCCATAGCGTGCATGTGAATCCTGGATGTGAGACGGACGATTAAGGGTCATGCTAGATGGAACGCCGCTGTCTAACGAGAACGATTTCTGGGTGATGGCAGGTCTAATAATAGGTGGTGGCACACCGGGGCGTGTGTACGGATCTTGCGGGCGTGATGGACCATTCCGGCCTTTGGGATTCGAGCTGGACTGCTCACCGCTATCGTCAAACGAAACTGATTTCATGGCAGCGGTGATAGCAGAAACTGGGTGCATATTGGCGGGGGCTGCATAACCTGGGCCATATGTCGTTGATGAAGATAAGGCTGGGTTATAGGATGGAGGATCAATGTTGGCATGTGACCTGTGTCTGTCTCGCTCCTGATCTAGAGCCGGAATACGATCGCGGTCCCTGCTGGAAGCGATGGGCTGTGGTACGTGATATGAAGGGTCTGCACCCGCTGTGCCCCCGCGATGGGTATCATTGAAGTAATGCGACGCCTGGCCACCCCCTTCGGGCATGAAAACGCCCGCATTTTGAGTGTGCTGTCTTTCTTGCCGGAGACCATTCATAGCGAATTGCTGTCTAGCCATGCGCTCTCGTTCACCAGCGGTGAGTAAAGGTTTTGGGCGCTCAAAATTTGGATTTGACGTTGACCCTACTCCCATAGTAGATCCGGCAGGACCCCTGTCGCCGCCGCGATTCGGACGTACGGGGCGATTAGTGTGCTGTTTTGAGTCCTCTGCAATACGTTGAGAAAGGACAAAGAAGAGGATGGACAGCGGCTTTGTCTTGGCACTCACTTCCAGGCCTGCCCTGCATCGCAGGCTGATGCTCCTTTGCCATACTTTCTGACCACTACGATCATGAGCTGGAGGAAATATGCGTGCACGAATCTCTCTGAACTTTGGACGAGCAAGTTATGGAATGGGACAAAGTACAGATGCCGGTACGAGAGATAACACGGAACTAAATAGTGTAGGCACGATTACGGTATCGTTGGTCTGCAAAGGAGGGCGCCTGTGGCTTGTGGCTTGAAGTGACTGATCCAGGTTTCCAGGACCCCGACTCAGAGTACTCGATCGAGATGACAGGCGGAAAGTTTGATGAAGCCGTCCAAGGGACAAGGGCTGGACTGCGTTCGATTCATATATGACTAGTCTTGGAGGGTCTACAGCCTGAGTCGAGCAGCTATCATGATTATGCTGCTAGCTTCATTAGTGCGAGTCGATACTGATTTTAGTCTTGCTTACCCTGCGCTAATGATAATGATGATGAGGTGAAGGCCATATGTATATTTCTCACTGCAAAAGTTCGTACTCTTCGCGCCAAGTGTGATTCGATCGCAATCAGCCCTGAGTACTATGGCGATTCGTCGGCAAAGAAGGACCGCGGGAGTCTAGGCAGTACTTCTAGCTTGCTGGACACTGGAAATATACCGTGTTGACACCGTGGACAATGATGAGTGCTTCCGAGGTCACCGGTCAGGGATGAATGAAGGGAGAGAAGCTTATATTTATGGCCTTCGGTCAGCTCCTTCCAACTAAGTGTTAGCTAACCACAACACCTTCCTAATGAGGAGTTGAAAATGATTCTCCTCAAATTTGAAAATACTCCGGTGACCACACAATGCATTTTCTATAGATACCTTAACTCAGTTCTTGTTACATCCTAATAACACTGGTACTGTCAGTATATATGTTCAGAAAGACTAGGATGACACAAATTGTCGTTCACATGCTATACATGTTACGATTTCCGCGATCGACGGACGACTTGCACGAGGCAACCAGCATTGCTGTATGAACTCCCAGTGCCCAGGCGCTATTTGCGATTCTTTAGGAGGTTCCGGTTTTATCCCTTTGATGACTTGTCCTAACACCGCAATATCCTTCTTCACATTGTGGTAGGGTACCTTGCAAGTCAATACCTGGAGCATGTACGAAGTGAACAAGACATTTCGTTCCAAATCGAGTTACCAACCTGGAGCGTGATACTGCCAAACGACTATATGTCGCACTCGGGGCTGAGCGAGAGCTCGTCCTCCTCCGATACTTCACATAATTCTGCAGCTACCCATCGGACATTCCCTCGGATGGAGCTCGTAAAATATGAGGTACCGACAAACTCCAGAATGATAGTGGAGAGACCAAAATCAGCGAGGCATGCCCGACCGTTGCCATAAATCAAGACATTTGACTGGAGAGTTGGCATGTGAGTAATGAAAACCTTCTGTGTGCGGACGTACACACCCCTGTCAGGTCCCCATGGACAACTGATTTGCTGTGGACTGAACCAACATGAGTATTTGAGAAATGGGGTGCGGTGAACGACAAACTTACGGTATTGCAATCCAAGGGCAACATCATTCAGCTGGAAAACGTAAGGAGGTCAGTAGTAAGCCCCTGGAGCTAGATGCACAGAGCTTACAAGGGAAAACTTATCGTGAGATGACAACGAGCTTTCTTGCCTCTCAAGATAGCCCGTGAGCGCTCCGTTTTCGACCCATGGGCAGATCATTGCGGGGTAGGGTCCAAAGTCAGTCGCCACTCCCCAGAGCGGAAGAATAGTATCATGCTTGAGACGGCCCCAGACTTTGAGTTCGCGACGGACTCTCTAAAGTGGACTCAACATCAGATAAACTGACACACGCAACGCCGTGGAAGACCACATTACCCTACTATTCTTCCGCATCAAGACCTCGTCGTCGGATTCGAAAGCACGAATAGTCTTCACTGCTACCTTGGTCATTATCAGGATAGTAACAGTAGGAAGTGCGACAAGCTGGGCATACCTGGACGGTCATATCGGGCTTCACTAAATTGCACTTCCAGATGTCTCCAAAGCCTCCAGAAGTTATTGGATAGCGTGATCTTCCCTGGAGCTCATCAGTAAGATCTTGTAGTGGATATGACGGTACTCGGGTTTGCTCTGGAGATGCTGTGTAATCCCGGAAAGTACTATTAGTACTAGACTCGACGGTAGCACCAGTTTCTGTCCCGTTCCTGTCATCCGTTTCAATCACAATCCGAAAATCTCTCCGAGGGTATGATGGTTGGCGCACAACTCTCGATTGGAATGGATGTCCCTAGTAAAAAGTTAGAAGTAGTGTGAAAGAGAAACAGAGAAAACTCACCTTAAGCTTTGCATTCCCATCATCCGCACCCTAGTAAATAATTGAAACTATTAGGGAAAGACATCAAAACACCAAAGCACACGTACTACAACTTCGAGCGCCGCCTCCAGGCTCCATACATAGATTTTTTTGTCTGGTCCAGCACTGGCAATGCATTTTCCATCGCGGGACATGACAACAGCCCTAAGTTGGTCATCATGGAAGAGTGGATCTCCGACTGCCTGATTGGTCTCGAGATCCCAGATGCGAATGGAGCAGTCAGCTGATCCGCTAACAATATAGCTTTCATCGGGAGTCAGACAGAGGGATAAGACGGCATTGACGTGACCCCGAAAAATGAAGAGTTCCTGCCCATCAATTGCCCGCCATTTTCGAATGGTATGATCAACTGAGGCAGAGAAGATGTGTGCGCCGTCCTTGGACCAACACAATGACGGCACCGCATTTTCATGTCCCTTGATCTCAAAAAGCAGCCTGCCGTCCCTTGACCATATGCAGATCGGACCGTTCCCACCGCTCATGAACTTGTCGCCTTGTGGAGAGTATTTGACGGCCATGACCCATCCGCGACTGGTCTCTATGGGTGGTACTATTTGTCGACCAGTATACGGATTCCAGCGTCGTATGGTGCCGTCTTGCGATCCACTTGCTATCTCTAGGTCGTTGGACGACCAATTGAGGCACCTAACTGTACCATCATGCCCCTCCCATGGGTCGCCGACCATGCTGCCCTCCTCTATATCCCACAGCCGCAATCTACCGTCTACATTTCCACAAACAACCATCGTTTCGTCCGGGGATACTACCATCGAAGCTATCCCTCCCCCATCACTATTCAAAGTTTGTCCCACTGGCTCACCGTCTCTTTTCCACTGACGAATCGAACCATCGTCAGACGCGCTCATTATATTGCCACTGGTAGTACCCAAGTAGGCAAGACTCCATATGCATCGAGAGTGACCCTCGATGATATACTCTGGCATCAAGCTTCCTGCCGGATGTTCTGGCTTTGGTTTCTTCCACGATGTGGTCCGATTGTTGTGGTTAACGAAGTAGGACCGACCGAGTGGTGAAATGTGCCATTCACATCCAGGAACGGCGAGATATCCAGGATAATCTATGTTCAACGGTGAGTTCCTCGCTCCTTGTCACAATTTCATCCCTCACCTAGTCGTACTCCTGGTAAAGGCCGGTTCCACGAGCTAATCACGAGTGTGTCATCCTGATATAGTGTTTCACCACCCGACGACGTCTTAAATTGATGCCACATAGGAGGAAGCGCTTCATTCCCGCCTGATTCTGATTGAGTAAGCTGGTGGGTATCACAAGGTAGCTGCTCACCTTTCCAAAGTGCACCTTGGCGGTGCTGTGCACCATATGGTGGTGGACCTTTCGCGCTCGTCTGAACATGTGTTACTAGTGGGCTGAATGACCTTTCTCGACGTGCTTCTCTCCGTTTTGCTGATGTGCTTGACTCGCCGAATGCGCTGAGCATGACTCTGATCAAGAGGACGTTGCGCTCCCAGACAGTTGGAAATGAACTAGAGGCTAAGCTTGACAATGGGCAGAGTCAATGGCGAAGGGCAAGAAGAGATGCTGTATTTATACATGCACATCAGAGGCAGTGTCACATGCTGTTAAAAGATGCGATTGGCAAATACATAGTTTGTTACGATAATGGAGCGGCTGTGCATATATCGACATTTGGGTCCGTACACCGTACAGGGCGCGTAGCAACACTTCCTCCCAGTTACATATCCGAGCTGGGTGCACCCTCACAATAACCCAAGTGCCAAAGTTGCCAACTTCTACTAGGGTCGCAAAAGACTATTACGCCGCTAAGAGACTGCATTCCGAAACAGTGGAGACAACTTTACTGGTGCTGTTGTCAGCACTTGGGGTGGATCTGGGGAAAGCAGCGGAAGGGAAAGGATGTGCACGAAGAGAGATGGATCCGAGTGCGCAGATGACAATCACAATGTTGATTACCAGAGTCAGACACAGGTGCGGGGGAACGAGAACTAAACTGAGTTTATGCGTGCCACTATCGTACGATCATATATCATTGTAGTGGTATTCGCCACATCTGGCCATCAGTGAATTGATGAGTCCTCGATATTGTAGCCGTGGGAAGTATAGCACGATGTAATTCTGCTGCCGCCAAATATTAGCTTATATACTGCGAGCAATTTGAATTGCACATATATACTCATGTATGCTTGTAAATCCAGCTTAACATGAATGATTTATAACAATCCTGGGACATTCCGCCTTTGCAGCCAATGAGTAGTGGTAGTATACCTGAGCCAATTGTTTTGAGCTTCGACATCTTACCTGATCTTGTTTTTTAATTACAATGTTATTTGAGGCCTTTTGATGGAAAGAGCCTCGGGCATTTGTCGACAAATATAAAATACCATTAGATTTAGTCACAAAGCTATGACATTCCTCCTTTTCAGATAATGAGGGGTGGTAGTAGACTTATCCCAATTATTTCGTGCATTGTCGTTTGGCCCTATTTATTTATCCCATTACAATGCTATTCAAGCCCTTCTCGTGAGAAGATACCTTTAGCGGACAACTTTTGAAACTGGCTGTACCGCTTCCAGCGGCCTCCGCTTTCAATAAGACTACATTAAGTATTTTCAAAACAATGCTTTACATGTTTCTGATTGCTGCTTATTGCAAATGTGAAAGTACAGCGGCGCTCTACAAGGCATCAGCGGGATCAATTGTGCTACAGCGCTGGAAATATCCTAAGTCCAACATTTGTATATGTTTGTTCATGTGACGGTGCGCTCACAAAAGTTCAACTTGAACTTTTCTTCCCGCTCTCACTCGCTCTCACTCATCGCTACTCTCGCTTGCCACTTTGGCTGACGATGATGGTGCGATGACAACGACGATGACCCGACAGCAACAACCCAACAACATCAACACGACGACGACGATACAACGACAATGACGACGACGACGACGACGACACGACGACGACGACGACGACGACACGACGATGACGACAATGACGACGACGACAATGACGACGACACGACGACGACAATGACGATATGACGATGACGACGCGACGCGATGCGACGACAATGACGACGACGACGCGACGCAATGCGACGACAACGACACGATGCGACGACGACGCGATGCGACAATGACGAGACGACAACGACGACGCGATGCGACGAGATGACGATGACACGACAACGACGCGACGACATGATGCGACGAGACGACGATGACGATGACACAACGACGACACAACAACATATCTCTCACTCGCTCTCATCTATAATAGATAGATAGATGTTCGCTGTTTATGTCAGATTTAAAATTTAATGGAATTTGCTTGATATCATTTAATTGAATTGGAAAAGCTGCCTGAAAATAATGTGCTAGTATTGTCGTGAATTGAGATCCTATTTACGAAAATTTGAAAGGGATTAAAATAATTAGACAGATTGCCAAATCGTCAAATTCTTGCAGATTTGTGCAAGTTGGATCGCATTTCATCCAATTTGAGAAGGAGGTTTTTCCTGAGTAGCTTTGACATCGGAAGCAGATATAAGAAAATGAAAAACGCTTCTTTCCTCTACAAGGTCAAACATGATAATGTAATGACCGATGGCAGAATTATGCTGATGTGTGCGATTGTGTACTATATATTGTGATATATGGCTTTCTACTTTCTTCACCAGTTCACTGATGACTGTTCTTCCGAAACTGTGAAATGTGAATATGCAAACCTGAATGAACATCGGACATACACGATCATGTGACCCTGGTATGTTACACAGACATGTCCTGTGCGTTGGGCAGAAGTACACGTCGTGCAGACCAGGGATGAACTGGTCGTTGTTGAGATTGCTGGGAGGCGTGGGATGATTCTTGCTGTCATTTGGGGCCAGGTGAAATTGACGCGGCCCTGCCGCGGTCGTGACGCGCCTGTGACGCGGCACTGACGCGGCATATGTGACGCGGCACTGTAACAAATTCCTATGTACAAATCATGTTTACACAACTTCATATCGCATTCCAAACACTTTGAATCATCGTTAATGATCAACATATGAGTGTCTGCCTGCGTACAGGCTCTATAGTGCTGTATTCACCTCTCACCAAATTTACAGTGCTTGTCCTCTGCGTTCATACTACTAGTATGCATCTTGCCGTCAGTCCTATATTGTTGCATTACCTCTAATTCGTTCATCTATGTTGGTTTTCAGATGCAGTGTCAAATGTTGTCTCACCGTGTCAAGCTTCGACCTCACCCTGCCAAGTTTGATCCACTCTCTATACCCTACACCAACACGTCGAGCCCCAACCATGGCATGTCAGAAGCCTCGTTTAGGCTGCGTCAAGCACTACTCACACCACGACAAGTTCTCCCAAATATCTTCGCAGTCTCTGTACTAATATCAACATCCACACTCTATGCCGCGTCGAGACCTACTACAGTGCCGCGTCAACCATAGCACATACCGCGTCAGTGCCGCGTCAAACAAGTTGTGCCGCGTCAGTTGCCGCTTCAAACCTCGTCACTGCCGCGTCACCCGCGCGTCACGCCGCGTCAAACTTCATTCATGCCGCGTCACAAGTAGCACATGCCGCGTCAAACCTCACCACCTCAACTGTCACACTGTCCGTATAACTTAGGTACATTTTACTTTACATCTGTCATAATAATTGATATTCTAATAGTGTTCCTTTTCATCCTGACAGAATTAGACGTCGTACACTGTAATTGTCCATAGGCAGTAATAAATTTATTTTACTAAGCATTCTTTCGTTGTCTCCTCTGGGCTCGAGAAACAACCGTTATTATCGCGCTTTTGTAAATCGTATCATGGCCTTTGTGAGTTCTTTAAAATACGGAGTAAACTTGTTATAACCATCTTTTAGCAATTAATCAAACATATATTCAACTTTTTCTATCCCAACGAGACAGAGAATCAAAATTATCCAGATCGGCCGGGTCCGCTGCTGAGTTTTGGGGACCTCATACCCTGCTATGACCGTTCAGGTGCGTCATCCGACATATTCTCCTTGTGAACTCAGATTTGACAAATAGAACTGCCTTTGGTGCATGCTTTCACTCTCGTGGTTGCTCACCGAAAGGCCAGTGATTTTGAAAAACGCATCGAAGCTCGAAACGAAGAATGGAACGATAGCATGCTGTTGAAGATGGCTTGGGCTGATCTCATGATAAGCTATCCTACCAATAGCTTCGTGGCTGATGTCGACCTCGAGTGTCTGACCGCACTAGAAGGAAGGATGTTCGAGGATTCCGAAGAAGCAGGACCTGCAGGCAACCAGCAGTGGGGTTTGGATGCTGGCCAACATCACAGGCGATGGAAATTGTATCTTGGAATTCCTGATGAATGGGTTTCTGCAAGAGATTATAGCGAGAGTGAACTTGAAGTGAGGAAGACATTACCTGCTCCGTTCGATAGATATCTAACTTATGTGATTGACAGCGCGGCCCCTTATTCAGTGATAACTCTGATGCTACATCTTTGGAGTCTGCAGACGAGCTATCCGAAGCTGTAGTTCCTTGTCTGCCGGCCGAAGAATGTCCGCCCGTTAAACGTCGATGTGCTCCACAGGCTCGAAGGGTCCAGAGAGGGAGGAAAAGAAAATAGTCATTGGCTTATGTATACCTAGTTGTACATGGCTCTGAGGCAAATAAAATAACAAAAGAGTGGTCGTGAACTCATCCAACTTGATCTGGAAGTTGAATATAGAATATAGGAATGGCGCGTCAGTGGTCGCGTCAAGGATCGTTAGTGCCGCGTCAAGGCTCGTCAGTGCCGCGTCACATGCGCGTCACGCCGCGTCACGGCCGCGTCACGACCGCGGCAGGCGCGGCAGGACCGCGTCAAAATAGCTACGCCCTGTCATTTGGGCGGCTGTCGCACCACCAAGGCAACTATAATCAATTGGTTATAACGTTCAGCATGGTCGTACGAGCTCGAGATTCGTTGGGGATCATGTATTCATGCGCAAAGAGTTCAGAGGACGCTGCTAAAGATGGCACTTGCGTGACCGACTCGCGGCGAGGCTATCTCTGCGGCTGTCTGCACAAGAATCGCGGAAAGATCGCGAGTGGAGAAAAGGTATAAATTATTGCGGGCAGTTGCGTGAACAATTCACCAAAAAGGTACAACTGTCCCAAAGCAGTGACTGTCGCTGAAAGTGTATGGCCATGGCGAGGAAGTGGTGGAGGTGAAGGTGAGATTGTGGCAGCCACGTGAGGTGTTGAGATTACAAGTGGAGGCGGGAGGAGTAAGCGCCGTGCAGACTAGGGATAAGCTGGCTGTATGTCGAGATTGTTGGGATAATTCTTGCTGTGATTTGGGCGGCTGTCGTATGATTAATAAAACATTGCGATCTTGTTGGGTGAGCCTTGTGAAGGACATTATATTCGTGTTCTGTTTACCAGCATCGATGGACGGTTATTAGAAGACACAACTATCCCCCCGAGAGTCTGGGGGATGATCGAATCGATTAACGTTTAACGTATTAGTAGAGACGTAAATTTTTGTGTATCATAGAAAAAATATACTTTGCAATATGGACGACTGCGAGCAGTCTGCGAGCCGACGTCAAAAATGTCGCTCGATTCTTTTTATGGCTGCGTTCGCACTCATTCACCCTCATTCACCCCGTTCTGATCCTTATCTCGGATCCTTCGGGACTCGACAAGTATACAGTACCGTAGTCAACGTTTAACGGACTCCAGGATTACAGTGGAGAGACCAGAATCAGCGAGGCATGCCCGGCCATTGTCATAAATCAAGACATTGGACTAGAGAGTTGGCACATGAGTAACAAAAACCTTCTGTGTACAGACGTACGCACCCCTGTCAGGTCCCCATGGACAGCTGATTTGCTGTGGACTGAACCAACATGAACATTTGAGAAATGGGGTGCAGTGAACGACAAACTTACGGTATTGCAATCCAAGAGCAATGTCATTCAGCTGGCAAACGCAAGGAGGTCAGTAAGTATTTGGAGATGCTAGATATACTGAGTGCTCCGCATTCAGCCCATGGGCAAATCATTGCAGGGCAGGGTCCAAAGTCAGTCACCACTCCCCAGAGTGGGACAATGCTATCATGTTTGAGACGGCCCCAAACTTTGAGCTCACGATTCACTCTATGAAGTCGATTCAACATCAGATAAACTGAGTCCTGACACGCGCGATGCCGTGGAAGACCACATTACCCCTACTATTCTTCCACATCAAGTCCTCGTCGTCGGATTCGAAAGCATGGATGGTCATTATCAGGATGATAACCGTAGGAAGAGCGACAAGCTGGGCATACCTGGACAGTCACATCGGGCTTTACTAAATCACACTTCCGAAGTTCCAGATCTCTCCAAAGCCTCCAGAAGTGATCGGATAACGTGGTCGTCCCTGGAGCTCATCAGTGAGATCTCGGAGTGTATGTGACGGTGCTCGGGTCTGCTCTGCAGATGGTGTATGATCCCTGGAAGTAGTATTAGACTTGACGGTGGTATCGGTTTCTGTCCCGTTCATGTCATCCGTTCGGAACACATTCCGAACATCTCTTCGAGGGCGTGTGGGTGCTGTATCTTTGGTATTGAGAGATGATTGCGCACGACTCGGTGTGCGAGTTCCAACCCTGGTTCTCGGCTAAATGGAGAGGTCAAAGATTGAACTAGACATGAGAAAAGCTGAGTATGCTCACGATCGGTTGACGCACGACTCTCGATTGAGATGAACGTCCCTAGTAAAAAGTTAGATCTAGTGTGAAAGAGAAGCAGAGAAAACACCTTAAGCTTTGCATTCCCATCATCCGCATGCTAGGAAATGACCCAAACTATTAGAGAAAGACGTCGAAACACCAAAGCACACGTACTACAACTTTGAGCGCTACCCCCAGGCTCCATACATAGATTTTTTTGTCTAGTCCAGCACTAGCAATATATTTTCCATTGGGGGATATGGCAACAGCCAAGAGGGCATCATCATGCAAGAGTGGCCCTCCGACCGCCTGATTGGTCTTGAGATCCCATATGCGAACGGAGCAATCACTTGATGTGCTAACAATATAGCTTTCATTGGGAGTAAGACAGAGGGATTCGACGGTGTTGGTGTGACCCCGAAAAACAATGAGTTCCTGTCCATCAATCGCCCGCCATTTTCGGATGGTGTTATCTCCCGACCCAGAGAAGATGTATGCGCCGTCCTTAGACCAACACAACGACGTCACCACACCATCATGTCCCTTGATCTCGATAAGCAGCTTGCTGTCCCTCGACCATACGCGAATAATCATGTCCTCACCACCGCTCATGAATTTGTCGCCTTGTGGAGAGTATTTGACAGTCATAACCCATCCGCGACTAGTCTCTATGGGCGGTACTATTTGTCGACCAGTATCCGGCTTCCAGCGTCGTATGGTGCCGTCTTCTGATCCACTAACTATCTCCGGGGTATGGCGAGACCAATCGAGGCACCTCACTGTGGTATTATGCCCCTCCCACGAGTCGCCGATCATGCTGCCCTTTTTAATATTCCACAGCCGCAGTCTGCCGTCTGCACTTCCACAAACGACCATTGTTTCGTATGGGGATGTTGTTATCGAGCATATCCCTCCCCCATTGTCATTCAAAGGTTTTCTTACTGGCTCTCCATCTCTTTTCCATTGACGAATCGAACTATCGTCAGACACGCTCGTTATATTGCCACTGATACCCAAGTAGGCAAGGCTCCATATGCATCGAGAGTGACCCTCGATGACGCACTCCGGCATCAAGCTTCCTGCCGGGCGTTCTGGTTTCGGTTTCTTCCACGACGTGGTCTGAGTACTGTGGTCGACGAAGTAGGATCGACCGAGTGGTGAGATGTGCCATTCATATCCAGGAACAGCGACAAATCCAGGATAATCTATGTTCAACGGTGAGTTCGTCGCTCCTTGTCGCAATTTCATCCCTCATCTAGTCGTACTCCTGGTAAAGGTCGGTTCCACGAGACTATCGCGAGCGTGTCATCTTGATATCGTATTTCACCATCCGACATCTTATACTGCTGCCACATAGGAGGAAGCGCTTCATTCCCGCCTGCTTCTAATTTAGTAAGTTGGCGGGTATCACAAGGTAGCTGCTCACCTTCCCAAAGTGCGTCCTGGCGGTGCTGTGCACCATATGGTGGTGGATCCCTTGCGCTCGTCTGAAGAGGTACAACATGTGCTGGTGGTTTGAATAGCGCTTCTTCTTGTGCTCCTCTCCGTTTTGCTGATGTGTTTGACTCACCGAATTTGCTAAGCATGACTTTAATCGGGAAAGGACTAGACGGTTGGACAATGAGCTAGAAGCTAAACTTGACAATGAGGAAATCAATAGTGAAGCTTGTGAAGGACAAGAAGATATGGTGGAAGTGATGGAGAGACCTGTTAGACGCTCAGGCTCACGTGCTTATTTACATGCGCCTTCCATGCATCCCAAGCCATCAGGGGTAGTGTCACATGCTGTTGAAAGAACCGACCCGTCAAATTTTTGGAATACACGATTTGTTATGATGTATGTGCCAATGGAGCGACTGTGCATATATCGACATTTGGGTCCGTACACCGTACAGGGCGCGTAGTAACACTTCTTCCCAATTACATATCCGAGCTGGATGCACCCTCACAATCACTCAAGTGCCAAGGTTGCCAACTACCACTAGAGCTGCAAAAGATCATGGCACCGCCAAGAGACTAAACGCCGTCATCACTGAAAACCAAGATCTATGATAAACCCTTATATACACATTATAATCCCAACAATGTCTATAATCGTATAAAATATGGCAGTGCAGAAGCCATAGTCTTGTATAGAAATATATTGTTATCCCTTGCGACCAATCTTTATCATGATTACCTGTGCCCGGCATTAGTTGAATGAATTTGGCTGTGTAAAAACTCAAACAGATTGATAAACACGCTAAATTCTGAAAACAAGATATATATGTGTAGAACACTATCCCCTATGACCAATAATTATCAAAATGGTTTTCATTTGGCATTGGCTGCATGAATCATGTTGTGACAATACTAAAACTGTACTGAAGTGATGATGCATGTTCGAAAAAGTGTCTCTCATTTAGCATTTCTAGCACAGCGGCTCTCCTGTCCAATAAGTAAAAGAGATAGAAATTCTTGCCATCTGTACCATCATATGGACAATTGCTTCATTGGCATCATGGTATTGCGGGTTTTATACTTGATTGGCCAGGAAGTCACATTGGGTTGTATAGGATTATACAGAGACACTCGGTACAATACATGTAGTTTATCAATGCCTCGCCAATTCTCTACCCTAATCTCATCATCAACACCATCTGCAGGAACAATAACATGGGTTGAACCACAACATATATTGTTAGTGCCTTGAAGTCCAATGAAAGCAAGGTGTCGCGGCAACTTGACACTATTGTTTCCTTATGCAGGGATTTGCACTGCTCAAGTGGTTGACTGAGTTTGGCGGTGCCGGTGTACAATCAAGCTCGGCGGTGCCAGTATAGGATCGAGTTTGGCGGTATATAATCGAACTCGTGGTACCATAGGATGTAACAGGATCGAGTTCAGCCATAGAATCGAGTTTTTGGCCATGGAATCGCAGGGATCAAATCCAGATATGAG